TATATATATATATATATATATATATATATATATATATATATATATAGTTACCCAAAAATATAATCGTTTTGAAAAGAAAAAGCTTTTTATGAAATTTGTTGAAAACCAAACATTTGCCAAGTGAAATGAATGCAGTTTTTGAGCTTTTTTTTTTTACCAAATGGGTCCACTTTAATGAAATTATATTTTTACTTAACATAAATTGATATATTAAAGATGAACTTCAAGGAAAATAATTCTGCATGTCTGTAAACATTAGAGCTATGGGGGGAGAGAAATTGCTTTCAGCTAGACTCAAGTTGTTACAACATTATTTTCTAGTGTGATTTAATTTTTAATGAGAACTTTGCTCCCATGCAGGAATGGTCATAGACATTGTATAGGTCCAGAAGACTTTGACAATTAGCAATAAAAAAATAGGGCTGAGTTGCTTACTTCCTATCTAAACAGTATCTAGACAAAGCAGGAATGCCTCAAAACAAGAAACAAAGCAATGGTTAGCATTATTTTTTTTTTTAGTTTGATAACTTCAGAATGAAAAAAATTTAAACAATTGTACATTTGATTTCAGAACAATTAATTGTTCACTGAGTATATAAAGATTTCCTTCATCATTACCAAAATATTAGTCGAATAGCAAATGTGTTTCTTCTCTTGAAGCTCTCTTGCAGTCATCCCATTAGCTAGGAAGCAATGTTTTTCCCGAAACAGTCTCTTTTGGGTTTCCTCTCAGGAAGGACAATAAAACCAAAATACCTTCACAGAGAGCCTCTGGCTCCATAGGGACATCTGGGTGGTTTAGCAGCTTTTCACCCAGTGATGAGGGAGCAGTGGAGTCCACACCACCTCTGGTTCAGATCCTACTGTGCCTTCGGAGTTAACTCTGACTTCTCCCTTTCAGCCAGGCTGATGCTGACTCCCTGTACAGCTTTCCTTCCCTCCTTCACTCATAATTCACCATGCGAAGGTCGGCAATCAGACCAATGTCGGCATTCTCACGTCAGCTCTGCCAGCCGTCCTCCGGGAATAATGCTGCCAGAGCTTCCATGCTGATGCTTTTCAGTCAGTACAGTGGGAGGGTCGGCATGCACCGCCCAGAAAACCAGCCAGATCGGCAGCTCCGGCCACAATTCATCCACGTGCTTTCACGCCTGCTCTCTTAGACGTTAGTAGCCTCTGAAAAAGAGTCAGTGGGACCATTGTTCTTTTTGACTTCCAGGTTCTTTTTAGCCTTGAATGTCATGGACACCTCTGAGTGAATGGCATCCAGCCTCTGCTCACAGCGGAAGGCAGAGAGGAAAGCTTTTCTGTAGTTGCTGTTCATCCAGCCATAGAGAAGGGGGTTGGCGAAGGTGGAGCACATGGCAATGATGTGGAACACTGTGAAGATGAGTTTGTACTCCTTCAGGTCCAGGACATGGCTGTCAATGTCCACAGCGAGCTGGAAGGCATGGAGGGGCAGCCAGCTGACTGCAAACACCACCACTACACACACCAGCATTTTCGTGGTTTTGTGCCTTCGCTGATGGTAATGGTCACCGGCAGCTCCGGGACTGACATGGTTCTTCAGCTTACTCCATATACGGATGTAGGAGAAAGATATGATGCACAGAGGCAAAACGTAGAGGATTAGCAAGGTGGAAAGGCTGTAGACTGTGCCATACACACTCTTCTCCTCCCCGGGCCACTTCTCAGTACAGGCCACAATCTCAAAGTCAGGAATGATCTCAATCAGCGAGTACTCCCGGAAGATGGCCAGGGGACTTGCCAGCAGGGCACTGATGCCCCAGGCCAGGCCAATAATTAGGAAGCTGATTCGCTTGGAGATCTTACTCTCCAGGTGGTAGACAATACAGCGATGGCGGTCCAGAGCAATGACTGTGAGCGTTATTGTGGACACTTGAACTGCTAGGCCCTGGGCATAGGGCACCAGATGGCACAGGACTGGACCCATCTTCCACTCCCCCATTAGAGTATAGGTAAGCGTGAACGGCAGGCACAGGGTGTTCACCAGAAGATCCGCCACAGCCAGGTTGGCAATGAAAAAGTTGGTCACTGTGCGCATGCTCTTGAATTTGATTACCACGTGGATTACCAGGGAGTTGCCAACTACCCCCAGCAAGATGATGGAGCAATAGGCCACGATGAGGACCACCTGCACCTCAATCAGCTTGGTGCTGTCTATGAGCTCCGGCTTTGGATCAGGGGGCAGCTCTCCTCTAGGAGTGGTGTGCCCTGGCCCATAGGACTCCACCTTCGCTTCTGCAGTTTGATTCTCGTCTGCCTCTGCACCTACTGGGCCCATCTTCAGCACCGCTTCGGCTTCCCTCTGCCTGCAGGCAGCCCAGGAATCTATAATAAAAATGACATAAGAAACCGCTAGCGAAACAGACAACCATCCTAGAGGAATTGGTTTAGCTTAGGCTGAGTTCCGCTGGATAGCAGGGCTCTGACTCCTGACACTGCAGATCACATATCAGCTCAATAGAGAGAATGCTCTAAACAAGTTTATTCACAACTAAGGATGGATGAAGTCAGATATTTGAAATATCAATGATCATGATAAGAATACATTTTTCTATTGGAGAGAACCAGTTCCGCAATGAATGACATCAAATAGATTCCACTTTAATGCACAATGAATGCAGTAAAATTTACCAATTTTATGATCGCTATGATGTCAACATCAACACATTAACTTAAAGGAAAGTGTCACCCTCTTAATTGCTCAAAACTTATAAGTGTACACCAGCACACAATACAGAAAAGGGACAGATAAGCCCTGTGCCAAGTCCCTGATCTTTGGGAGAATAAAATAAAGCCAGATGAGTGGACTCTCACACAGACACTTCTCTCACTTCTTGTGCACGTAGCCCCCTCCCCGTTGGTCTCTCGTGTGTGCATGTATATATGTATTTAGGTGCACACATGTGTCTATAGGCAAAAGCAAATCTCGGCTGTCCGGTTGTCCTTCCTCCAGTACCATTCATGTTGTTCTTGAGACAGGGCTTCTCACTGGCCTGGAGGTCACCACCTGTCCATGTAACACAGAGCAGAATCCTACAAAGTCACAGCATTCAAAATATGCCCAATTTTGAAGTTTCCCCCCTACTTCTAAATAGAGTGGGTGCCCTACACCCCAGAGTTCTCCCTCGTGTGCGATCTGCTGCACTCAATCTACAATCAAAGCCCTTCAAGTTTAAGGACAAGATAAGCAGTCTAGGTTTTCCGGTTTCCTTGAGACCTCTCGGCAACTACTGTCTTATCTCTACCAGCCACATCTCATGGCATCATTTCTACTACATGAGTTTTGCTTGGCTCAGTCTCTAACCACAATTGTTCTTATAGCCATGAATCTTCTTTCTTTCTTTCTTTCTTTCTTTCTTTCTTTCTTTCTTTCTTTC